AGGACGGCAAGAAAGGGAGGACGGCAAGAAGTCAGCCATACTGCCCATCAGTTTGGACAAAAGAACTTTCAGAAACAGAAGACTGTTAATTGAAAAAATAAACATAATTAATACCAAAAGTTACATGCAATCTTGTCTTAAGCAAGTCACTTATTTAAATGGTGAGTATTTTTAAAAGCAGCAATAACCAATACAGCCTACATGTTTAATACCTGACATGAGTGAAATAAGTCTTTGTCTAGCCTCATTTGATGCCCTTGGTGTACGAATTCGGTCTATCCACTGGTATTCTGGGTCTTCATTAACTACAAGTTCTTCCACAAATCCATGAATTATTACTGCTCTGTAACACTTGGGAATAGATGTAGCTGTTAAAAAAATACACATAAAAGATGTAAAGAATCATTCCGTGAGCCAAGAATTCCAAGAAAACTATACAATTACATGCAAAAAGTGATGTGAACAATTCCAGAAAGTCATGCACATGTTTTTCTGTTAAAATGTGGACATACTCTAAGCAGTTTTGTTCTGGGAGACTCTGGAGCACTGATAAGATAACTGTCCAGTGTATCATTTACAACCTGTACCACTGTAAAACCTTTTCACTTTGTGCCTCTAACAGGGTATGCACCCAAAGCAATACAATGTCCATATGTGTAAGCACTGAAAAGCAACTTAAGAAAGAGGGGAAAAAAGTTATTTACATTCTTTTTAAATATAAACAGTAAAAAAATATTTTTTAAAAAGGAAATAAACATTAATCATTTCTGCATTTGCTACTGGCTTCAATGGGGCTTATGAAAAGAGCTGTTGAAAAAAGGGAAACTGACAGAACAGGTAAGAAACGAGGAGAGGTGGGAGGGAGTTTTCTGTTCAAATAATCTTTTTCTACTACTTACTGCAAAAAAACTTGACTCCACAGGATGACTGCCTAAATCTGTTTAAATCATTGAAGAGGTCTACTTTCACTACCACATTGATCTCCCCACGTATACCTACCAATGAAAACAAAAAATTAGAAATTTTATCAGAAACAAATACTAAAGTAGCCCTATTAATGATTCCCTATTATTAGTAATGAATGGACTTTCTATTACCAATGTATTATTTTTTCTGCAGAGAATGCACTTTAACCCTCCAAGAACCGCTCAGTTCACCTGTCAGTTTATGTGTCAATTCTAGTCTGGGCCAGAAGATCAGGAAGAGACTTTCTTGCCTCTCAGGTCTGACACAGAGACACCCTCTCAGAAGAAGTTTCTAGTTCTGCCCTGGCTGAAGCGATGCAAACAACAGTTCTCAAATACTTGCTGCACCGAACAGACCTTTAGAAAAAAGGTGGAATTGGTCAAAGAGAAGCCATCAGCCTCCTAATACTGCAGTGGCTTCTGCTGCAGTGAGCAAGTGCTCTCTCTGCTCCTTTGCCCTGTACCATCAATGCAGGAAGGGTATAAAGTAAGTGTCAAAGTACCATGACTATCCAAACATATGCTTAGCACAAAAGATCTAAAGTGTAACTTTGAGTATAGATGCCTTGAAACTGAAATCCAGTCCACATCAAAAAGCTCTGACCAATACCAGAAAGCTTTTACATTTTCTCCCTGAAATGGTTTCGAAATAACAGTAGAGCTACTCTCTGAAGTTCAATGCAGAGAGAAAACTTATGGTTCTTTCTAGAACCACAAAGTAAATGCTTGTAATATCCTTTGGTGATAAGAATATATTAAAAATAAGGTATTACAGACTTTGTAGATACAGCTCAATTCTTGGTCACAATTAAACCTTATTTATAATGGAGTATTTCCTGAACACACAGCCATTCCTTTTTGATTTTTCTACTTTTCTATTCTGAGCCTTTCCTTCTTTTTCCCCATGCAGTAACAAAATTATTTCACGTATTATGTTCTGACATACTGAGAACTAAACTTCTTGATAAGTCTGATCTCTAGTGTCTTCAGAAGCCTTTATCACATACATATATGACACTCAAACAAAAGCACTAGATTCATAGGCTGACTCTGACGTTTTTGCAATAAAGTCACCTAGATCCGTCTTCCAAAATGCCAGTATAAAGAAGCCTTCAGTTACTGTAACAAGAAGTGCATCAGGTTCATATATTTACATAAATAGATTTTTTTCACATTAACATGATTATTTAATAAAAATTTATAAACATTATATTGATTATTTTTAAGGAAGTACCAATAACCGTGCCATGGATCAAAATAACTAGAATCTACAGCTACAAGCATGAAAATATATGAATTCTAATTTTACTTAAATAGAAAAAAAAGCAGTGAAATAATAACAGATCTAGAAAAATACAGTGAAATTTAAGTCTTCCTAACATATAAGTTGTACATATCCTGAGACAAGTGTCTACCTAATTAACTTCAAAGGAAAATGTATGATAGGAAAATGTGAACAAAATGTAAAAAAATACATGCAATACTTCTCAAAAAAAAGTCTTTAATATAACTGTTTTAAATGCAAAAAATACTTTGCATCGGCTATTGTGATCATCCTGTAAATATCATTAATTATTTCCCAGCAACGATTTACAATTAGCTTTTAACATAATTAATTCATTTAATTCAACCTGGATAATGAACAAAGGTGGTAATGACAACTACATAGATGTTCTGCAATAAGGTATTCAAGAAGCAAGCTAACTGCTGTAAACAGGCCATGACCTTCTTGGACAAAAGTTGTGTTTCATTAAAATCAAAGGCAAAAATATTATTAACTTAATTTTCTCAAACCTTCAAGATATTCTGATGAAATCTACCTAGCACAGAGAGTAGTTTCTGCAGGGAAAAGGAATTTCATTCTGTACAACATGTTGAAGATACATCACATCCTATCCCTCCCATATCCCAAGTGGCTTCAGCAAAAGTATGTTTGGGTTCTTTTTTTTTAACCCTATCTGAATTTTGCAATAACTGTTTTAAATACCATGTGACAATTACTTCCACTTGTCACAAGTTCTATGAGAGGCATTCTGCCAAGCACTAGTCTGAACTATTATGCCAGAAATAAGGAAAAGTGTGCGAGAAAATTAGCTTTCCAGCTCTTGAGGCTAAAACTGTTACAAATTTCTGAAGACATTTTACAGAAATGAAGACTGTAAGAAGCAGACTATATATCTAACATATTTTTACTTTTAAATTAGCATATCTTACCATGAATGGTATCATAAATAGGAAACCATCCTGAAATAACTGTAGCTGCTTCACTATAGAGCAAAGGATCAATATCTATGTACACTTTGCCAATGGCATCATTAGCACTGTAGGTATCATGATCAAGAACTGTGATTTGAAGAGGCTCATCTTGCAGCTCTTCATCATCTACCTAGAAACAAATATTAACATGGAATCTGAGTACTTAAAAAAACTGCAGGGAAAGACTGCTAAAAAACAAATGCAAAAAAAGAGCAGCATCAGTTATGTACAGTGATTTGACATACATAAATACATAATTTCAATTTCCTGTACCTAAACAATGCATTCACTTATTTTGATTTTACCCTCCATAGACAGGAGTATTACACTCTGAAGTTATGATTATAGGTGCTCTCACCCTTCCAAACTGGTCAGTGACTTAAAAGAAGACAAGAGAGTTTATACAACCCATTGTCAAAATTCAGTAATTTCAGACATGCATTTTCCTAAACAAATGCAATAATCCACCTGCAGATATTGCAACAATTTTTTAGGACATACAAAAATAGACATTCTACAACTTCTTGTGCTGAACGTCGCAAACCAAGGTTTGCTAAATGCAATAGGACGATTCATGTAAGTGTTTGCAGAAATATAACATCTAGTCTTGCAAAGAAAAAAAAAAAATCAAACTACACACACATGCACACACTTACGATATCTTAAGTAGTTAGTGTTTTTCCACTCTTTGAAATGTGGAATTCTATTTTTTTATTTTTTTTTCAAGGTTGCTGTTTGCCTCTCTTTCCCAAATCCATTTTTTCATGCAGAAAGACTGAATTTTGAGACTTGTGTTATTGCCAAAAAAACCTGTTTCTGTATGAATAGAGTTAACCTTTCACACAGATCAGCTCTTTCCCCTCCCTCCAAAAAACAACTTCAGGAATTGAAAAATATAAAAAAGACGACCAACTGAATTTCAGCACCATTGTACTACTTTCTTAATCAACATGGGTTGCTGATTAAGTGATGCTCTTAATCAAGTATTCTGTGTTTATTAATAATCTTCCTAACCTTACTAATTTGTATTTGCTCTAAAATATTTCTAACATTACCAGCTATTACATCACTCATTACATTTACAATCATGATTATACTGTGGTATTATCTTAGGACACTACAAATGAACCAGTACTATATATTCAAACGTTTTAACAATTAATTTAGCCTAAATACCACTACATTTTTTAAAGTAATTAAAAATGCATTAAAAATGCATTAACAACAATAGAAGAATATGTAAACACTTGTTCGGGGTGTAATTTCAAAGGACATCAACAAATCAGATCCTGACCCCTGAAAGCAATGAGCAATTACAGGAAAATGTTGAGTGTCCTCATTACTACATAAGGAAATGGGAAAAGAAAATGTAAAATAATTGTTGCCCAAGCTCTTTATTTTGTAATTTTCTCATAGGAGTTCTCAATTTTCTTTTCTGTCAAGTGCATTATTTTTGCAAACCAAAGTAACATTTCAAATCCCAATTAACTTTCCTTACTCAAAACTAGCCCTGCAAAAAAAAAAAATGCAAGCATACCTGTACTGGTATCTCAAAGCATAATCCATAATGCTATTTCCCCCCCAACTTTTACCTTTGTCTTGACTTTTTCATTACTACCAAGAGTTGGATCCAATCTGGCAAACTTTCTTCATTACAAACAGTCCTCAAAAGCCAATGAGGCACTTTTAGCAAAAAAGGTCTAACTGTAGTTAAGTTTGCTGAAAAGGTTACATGTGTATTTAAACAGAAATATACTTGACTTCTCAAAACTCATTTTCTGCCTGAAATGACATTATTTCATTAAGGGCATCTAAACCTGAGTGTCTATATAGATACAGCAAACTCTTAAAAAATACTTACTTCAAATTTGAACCACTCAGAATTCCACTGAGGATTAAGTGATTTGGGATACACATCTGTCTTAAATGTTGTATTACCAAATTTTACCTAAAATACAAGCATTCCATAATTAATAATAAATACTAATCAATAAATTTAAAACTTATTAAATCTACACATACAAATAATTTTAAATATGTATTTCAACAATATCAACAAGTTCTTTTCAGTGAGAGCAGCTCTTTTCATTGATTCACACATATCAGTAAGGAACTTTCCATGTATCAACAAGACTCCCAACAAATCTCTCTCTCCCACTATTAGAATTGTTTATTTTTCCTCCTTAATCACTTGAGAAGTAAAAATACTGCTTATATTGGCTATTCAAATCACTTGGTACACTCTCTTTTGCTTTCTGTATTATTCTAGCTAAAAATTGATAGTTTATGTCCCATTACCATTCTCTCTAGGGTTTCTATATCAGCTTTACTAACAATTTATAAAAGAAATATAGAAATAAAATGGAAACACTGGTAAATTCATTTGTTGTTTTCTGAATGTTGCCTCTCAAAATACCTGGTTGGCCAAAAAGTCATTGCTTTTTTTTCTGGATAAATGAAAGGCAATTTTTTTGTGGGAAACAAAAACTTTAATATTAAACAATATAGTGTCCATTTTGTTCAATTACCTTTTGCCATCTTTCAGGCAACTCCATGATTCCACGCTCAAAAAAGTTCTTATCTTTTACAGCAAAAAACAGTTCCAAGCACAATTTGAAATCATCAGCAGCAGTGAAGATTTCATCATTCAAGGCATTTAGTAAAGAACGAAACACATGGTAGTTTGATGGTGCCAGGTCTGGCAAATATGGTGGATGTGGTAACACATCCCATCCAAGCTGCAACAAGTTTTGACAAGTGACCAAACTTGTACATGGTCAAGGGTTACCATGCAGAAACTCAGCACCTTTGCGATTCACCAATTCTGGATGCTTCTGTTTGATGGGATCATTTAATTTACCCAGTAGGTAACAGTACACATCTGAATTAATGGTTAAGTTTCTTGGAAGCAATGCAATATGCACAATACCTTTGGAATCCCACCAGACTGACAGCATCATCTTCCTTTGGTGAATAACTGCTCTTGAAATGCTTTGAGCTGGTTCATCACGCTTGCTCCACAACCTTTGCTGTTTGTTGTTGTTGTGGACAATCCATTTGTCATCATCTGTTATCATATGCTTGAAAAATGTATCATTTTCCTCACGTGCTTATTGAGATTAATTTATTTGAGTTCATGTGGTACCCAAATACCAGGCTTCCTACTGTATTCAAGTTGTTTTAAATGGTTTTCAATGCTCGATTTCAATGTGTTAAGATTATCAGCAATCTCCTGCATTGTTAAATGCCAACTGCATTTGATCAATGCCTTTCTTTCGTTGTTATCAACTTCGATTTGCCTTCCTGAGCGTGGTGCTTCTTGAACACCAAAATCTCCGGGCCAAAATTTAGCAAACCAGTTCTGACACTGATGTAGTTTTAAGGCATCTTCACCATACACATGACATTTTTATGACCTTTCTTCCTTTTCTGAAGTAATACAGTAAAGTACGATGAAAACGTTCCTTTTGATTTTTCATTATGAAATTGACGCCAAATAAATGTTAACAATCGTGCACTTTCTTCTTCTAAAACAAGCTTGATCTGCTAGTTGTCAAGTTACATAATGAATTTGTAGTTTAAGAGAAGGTTAGTTACATTTCAAGACAAGTATGTCTATCTGTTAAAAAAGATGCAATTACTTTTTGGCCAACCCAATAATTAATACTTAAACCATATCAACCATCTGATGGTTCTTACAAGTACCCAAAGTTGTGTTTTTTAATTAATTCAAAAGTCTTAAGAAAATAGTGAGTGTGCTGATATAGAAGAAATGCTTCAGTCAAAGACAGTTGTGGAATTTGAATGTCATTTTCTTTTTAAAAGCTTAAATGGATTTTGGAGACTCAATTCAGGCTTAGCTTTTGAAAATTGTATAGCAATTTTTAAAACACTTTTGCTCAAGAAACTACTAAATATACAATTTATACATTTCAGTAATACTGTGATCATTTTGCATAGATGCATATTGCAACTCTGAAGAAATTCTGCACTTGCTTAAGTACATCCAGGTACTTTTAAAGGCCTAAAGCACTGCATTACTGGACTGCGAGTTCACACTGAGCTCTGCATATATAACCATAGGTACCTCAGCCAGAACTCTCTACAGCATTTGTGAACAAAGAAACAATTAAAAAATGACCAGGTCCTCCATTTGATTCAATGAAAAGTCATGCTTTTCAAAAAGACGTTACTTAAAAATAACCTTTAAAGTTAAAAGCTAGAGTGGTATGAAAACTCACAAGTAAGCAACCTTAGTGTGAAAAATCATCTTGCTATCAAAAGATAGATGCAGAAAACCAACACCACAGCCACTTAGAATGTGTATCCATCACACAAAATAGTATAATAAAGTGATACTGACACTAGTTTTAACTGAGCCACTTTATATACCAGAAGCTGCCAAGATGCAGCAGCCCAGAGCTCCACCCAACCTTATTTTACATGTTATCTAGGGAGTCGGTCAATTCCCTTGAAGCCACAGGCAGCTATAACTGAAATTCTCCAGTAGTCAAGCTAGTTCATTAAAGCTAGTAAACATAATCAAGCACTACACTGCTGTTCGCTGTACAAATTTAGAAGCACAATTACAGAAGAAACTGTGCTATTTTGTTCCAGATCACATATGCTGGCAAAGTTCAAGCTAAGCATAGCCTGAGCCAAGTAGGAACTCTGGTGTCTTTTCTCATTTCCTTTTCTAATTCTAGATTATTTTTTTTTCTAATTCTAGATTTATATTAGAATATTTAACAAAGAAATTAAAGGCTAGTAATCAACTAGTTCCTTAACATAACTTCTACTTTTCCTTTTTATTGAAGTGAAAATGTTTTGTAAAGGTTTTCTGCAACCTTACACAGAAAAATAAAACAATAGTTTCAAGCTCAATTTATTTCGAGATAAATCTCACTTGCTGTCTTGCCTACTCCACATGTGGAAAGGGCAGTTCCCACAAACTAAGCAACAGTCCAAAAAGCAAGGCTCCATCTACATATTTCTTTAGCCTTATTTGCACTAAGACATTAATGAAACTACAATTAATGCAGCTAAGCAAACTGATCTTTAAAAAAAAATATTATTTTTCTGTTTTGCTAAGCTAGTCTTTAGATGAATTCCAAAAATCTATTTTGCTATACAGCTGCTCAGACATCAGGGCTGGCACAGATGAGGCAGGGTTGGGAACAAGTGACCAACAAGACAGGAGAGCCGTTTCTCCTCAAGACAGCATAAAAACAGGCCAAATTAAACTCATCAGCTATATTCCCTAGTTCTGTTTTCCCTGTCTCCTAGTAGCACACATCAGAGCTATTGTAGGCTGTCCATTAATCAAATTTAAAATTACAAGAGAAATTTAAAAATTACAAATTAAAAACTGACTGATGAAACACGTGAAACCAAACACTAAAATATTAAGTTAAATTACTGTCATTCATGTAATAAAATAGAACTGTGTGCGATTCCAGCACCATTGAAAAGCGTATGAGAAATACACTTTCACTTTACCAATTTACTGTCCCACTAGGCAATGCACTTAATAATGTCAATCAATTTTTTAAGCACCAAACCAAATCAGGACTTGTATACCCAAAATCTATTTTGATATTAATATTATCAGACTTTTAAATTTATATAGCTCTAGAAAGTCATTCCACTTTCCTACCATAATTCTGGTACTGTGCCAACCTCAATTACTATTTGTGGTACAAGCACGCATTTACATAGCATTCCATATTTAAACACCTCTTTGCTTTTTCTGAGAGTATGATTTCTGAACCTGTGGAATGTTTCTAAAATGTTCTAAGCTATTCATACTGGAAATAACGAATCATAAAACAGAAGGATCACATCAACCTATTTTAGAATCCCTCCTTGAGCAATGTCCTATATGCCTGTTAACTACATGATTGTAAAGAACGCTGAAGTCAGACACTTTTGGTGCAATAAAGCTATTTAAACACGCAAACAATATTAAATATTTGTCCAATAAAAATTCCCTTCGAAAATATTTTAGTATTTCAAATAGAAATAGGAAAAAAATGGTCTAAAAAGAAAACCCTGCCCAGCCACTCTAATCTTCATATATTCAGAGATACAAACGACACAAACATGCATTGACTACTTCATCCTGCTTACAACACATCTATCGAATCCTGAAATGGATCTCATTATAATGACATACCAATTAGCACCATTCATTAACAATCTCCAGCTGACAGAGGCTGAAAACCAGCAGAATATTTCTAAAATGCCATTCAAATTCTACATGGCTGTCAGCTAAAAATCAAGAGTAAACCAAAAACTGCTCTAAAAACATCGCGA